ACGTGAGGAGATACTATCCTCGCGCGCGGTCCCGCCGCGCAGAAATACCGTCGCGACGCTTTTCCGCGAGCGGTCGCGACAGCGTGAAATATTTTTTGCCGGATCCGCCGCTATCTCGACCGTAGTCGAAACCGAGGAAACACAGATCTCCACTTTGCGCGACCGCGGCAGGGACAAAAAGGCGGCGGTGGCGAGGAGCGACGCGAGGGAGACAGAGAGGGAGAGGAGAGCGCGAAAGTGCATCGCGGCGAACTGGATCTCCGCGTCGGATCCGCGACACGTAGCACACCTCCCGGTGACGGTTATTGCGAGTGTGTTTCGCCACGTTTATACCCCTACGGCGACCGCCTTTTGTCGGGGACGAGGATAATTCCAGCCGACTCCTCTTCGCCCGCGCCCGTCAAATCGGACGTGACGTCTCCGCGTTTATTTGCACGCCGGGGCGAGAGACTATTTGGCCGCGGCAGCCTCGTGGACAGGCGCGGGACGTTTTAAAATGTCAGCACGCTGCCGCACGCATCGGGGATTTTTCGCGAAAGCCAGAGCAAGACAGACAGCGCGAGAGTCCTTCTCCCCTCGCTCTCCTCCCCCCTCGGCGAACGTACACCGCGTAATTGCGCGCCGACACGTACGGTAATGAAATATCACTCCGACCCGAAGAGAACCGCCCGAAGCGGTGACTTTTATTAATCGATTATTTCTCGTGTTTATCGCGATTATCTGGACGTATCTGTTTGTCGTGTGCAATAACGCGAACGCTCGCGCGCGCATACACGTGCGAGCGTGGAAAATTCTTTCTCTGGTAGAGAGATCGAACCTCGTCGGTGTTTAGTCACGAGGCAGTAAATTTGCATCTAACTCGTCGCTGCTACACTGACAGAAATCACCGTTATTTTTTGGCCCCAGCTATATCCTTTTTCGGCTTTAATCACAAAAACAGCGAATCAATAACGCCAGCTAATAACGAACTACATATGTATATACGTAGAAAACGTCGGAGAATTTAATCCACACGAGGAGAAAATATTGTGGTAAAAATTACCGCAAAATTTCACAATACCGGACCGTACCGGAATTATGATTGAAATTATTACGTGCGTTGTAATATCTAGTGATATGAAATACATCGCTAAAGATTACAACACACGCGATCATTTCAGTTTATAATTCCGGTATGCTCCAGCGTTACGAAACGTAGTGATAATTTTTACTACAATATATTTACCGCAACATATTTCCCTCCGTGTAGCCAGTACTAGGCTAGCTACCCGGCTTTCGATTCTAGCCGATACATTTTTATTATCGACGGGACGGTTGGCCTCGTGAGCGTAAATTTTGATTCCCTCTGATTTCGATTCACTTCCGCGATGTGCGGATCATTTTGTTCGCAACCGGCAGTGTGGTGATCGCGCGCTGCCATTCATCCCGAACGAATATTTCGAGCAACGGCGCGCGACCGACTACTTTATCGCTTCGACGACAGGAGAGGTAAAGATCGCTGTGAGCTACGCTTCTGACAAAAATAACATTGTTATTTTCGCAAGCGCCATCGAACGTCGCACGCGAGCGCGGAAGTTTCCGAGCGTGGTAATTTATCCTCGTCCCGGTGTTCGAGAAACTGTGTAAACGTACGCGACGTACGAAATCTGTGTCTCGAACGAGGAGGAGGACGACGGGAACGGCGAGCTCGGCCGCGTAGCGAGGTATCTGCACACGCTGTTACGTTTCCTTTGTCGACAATGGCCGCGTTGCCGTTATTCGAACGCGTCACGACGTGCGAGCGCAGCGGCGGCGTCGTCGTTGAAATCGCGAATTGGGATCGTCAATATCAATCACGCGCGGCGAGAGAAAGCGAGATAGGGATATAAGCCGGATCGAAGGGGCGACGAGCGAATGGAAAATAACGATTGCCTGATATCAGTCGGCAGGAAGGCAATAAAATAAACCTTCTCGCACGCCAAGTCGGCGCTCTATAAAAAGAATCCCCCGTTGCTGCGCGCGCCTACCCCGCCCGTATAGATCTCACTGAAAAGTTCGATCTGTCAAATGCCTTTCACGCCTTCGTGGCCCGAAAAAGCGTGGGAAATATTTTGATATTCGAATTCCCCGGAATTTTTGCGCGAGAGATCGCCACCCGGTTGTCTCATAATCTCCCGTATAAAACGCCTTCTCTCTCTCTCTCTCTCTCGTGATTAGCGCACACGAAATGTCCAAATTTCTCATTTGAGATGCCGCACTTGAAACTTTACCGATAGAATACTGAGAACTTCCGCAAAGTTTACGTTTTTTTTTATCGCGGAGAATTGTATAAACGCTTTTGCATAGTGAAAGTAAGCGCGAAAATCAATTGGAGCATTGTCCGATAAGTGACGAAAACGATTAAAAATTTCAAAATTGACACCCCTATCTGTCAGTTAGCGTAAATATTCACCTGATACAGAAATCCTACTGCTTGTACATATCGAATGTGTCAATGCTTCAATCGGATTTCAAAGAATATTTCTGTATCTTTGTAATTGAATATAAAAGCGTAAAAAGATGCGAAATTTTGCAGAAAAAAATTTAACATATTTTAGATTTTCCGTTGGATATGGTAAAACAGAATAATACATATTCATCTTATTCACATTTCGCAATAACATTTACATAAGATTTATGTATATATAAGGGATACAAGCAGAGAGATTAGCGTGATCGTGTTAATGTTTATGTAATATAGCATTTCGAGGACCGTGTGTGTGTGTGTGTGTGTGTGTGTGTGTGCGCGCGCGCGTGTGTATGTCTAAATTACTGACGCTTATCAAATTCGTCAACGAAGCATCCTCTTAAATTCGAGAGGAAAGTTTCATGGGAAATCATCGACATGGCAATTCTCGCCGATCGGTAGTTTTTTAATTCCCAGCGCTAAATAATTACGTCTCGCGACGAAGTCCGAAGCGAGGAGTCCGTTAAAATCCTTTTCGACGAAATTCAACGAGGAATGACAACATTCAGCATGAAATTTACGACGACATAAAGCCGTCGCGCGGCATCGCCTTCTCTCCGCTTTACACGACTCCAAAAACCGGAACTGAAAATTAAATCCACAGGATTAAGAGAGAAGCGCGCGGAATTAACGATCAATAAGCTGAGGAGGATTTCATTCGCGCGGTGTCGCGTGTCCTTTCGCGATCGTCTTCGCGCGACCAGTTATCCTTGATACTTAATGAGAGCCCAGGCGCCGTCCTTCGCGCCAAAATAAAGTCCCAGCGATGCCGCCGCCGCCGCGAAAAACGCGCGGCACGGGCGTTTCGCGCGCCCGGACCAATAAAAGCCGCCGTTTCCGCGCCGAAAGTGTCGTTCCGTGCGAAACGAGCCGGACGTTCCTGTTTCTCGGCCGTGCTACGCCGCGGCGTTTATTATCGTTGCTCCGAAACGCGTTGGAAATGGGCTAGTAAACGCGAAACGTTGGCACAATTCCGGAATATCCCGCGGAAATATATATGCTGCGCGGGTATTAAGCGTGTTGTCTTGCATTACGTTGTCGCTATTCCCGCTCGCGAAATTTTCCCGAAAGGCGAACAACAATCGAAGCAGCTTGCGTTGTCGCGATCGCCCAGCTCTTTTCCTCCCTTAACGGTGTTCGGTACTTCGCAAATTCTCTCGCTTATCCGACGGGCCCGATAATGACTCGAGCATCGCGCTTTGATCGCGTGGAAAGTACGTCGCACGACGTAATCGTGCTTTATCCGATCGATCTTTTAACGATCCTAGTTTACCGAACGGCAATATTCACGCGACAAGGCTCGGATTTTATTCGCACGCGACGGATCCTCGCCCCGACGCGCGTTCGATCTTTTAATAGATCGCGCAATTGGCCGTCCAATTGAACCGATTAGTCGGCCGGCTTTCTCGCTCGGCGCGAAGATAAGCAGATCCCGAAATTTACGGTCGATCGTCCGTCCGGGCGGCAAGGCCGCGGCGACTACTTTTTAACTCTCTTCACGAGCCGTCTTCTGGAAACTCCGCCGCAGATCACGCTCGGAGTATCCGCTAAATTTCACCGGGCCGGGCGTAAATATTTGCCCAAGACAAAGGCTGCGACCGGCCGATGTCCCGCGAAATGCGGACGCGCGATATGTTTACGGATCCCTCGATCCGTCGCGCCAGCCGGCCGCGCGCCGATGAATAAACGTTATTTTTCACCGTGGAATGCCCACCCGCGAAAGCCATATTCGCTGCGAGCAAGGCTGCCGCTCTCTGCTGGCGAGCCTCGGGACCGTCGTTCGGCTGAATTTAGGGGAAACATCAGCGGCCGGCCTCTCGTTAGTGCCGCCTCGGCTAACCTGACCAGACTGCAGGACGAGCCTTTGTTAATCCGACGATGAATCGACTGGTCCGAATACCTCCACTACCGCATACGTTTCGCGGACACGTGAAGATACAATTAAACTCGCGCGCTCCTCTGTGATCTCGGCAAGTTGCACGCGTCTCTTACCGCGTTTCATCTCTGATAAACTGGATAAAAGGATCGTTGGCACAGAGAGCTTCACTTTATTCGAGACTGCACTTGAAATTGTCACCCGAGATCTCCTCTCGATATCACCTTCGTGTATTTATCGTACGTGATTAATTTAACGATCTCTTTCATTTTGACGAAATTTCATGGCGGCTTGTGACGAAAGAGAAGCCCCTTAAGAGTTGCGGCGCAAGAATCGGAATTACCTGGATGTAAGAGCGCATAAATCGTCGATTTATCGTGCATAATTTATTTAACGCGATTTCTTTCATTTTAAGGAAATTTCAATGTCTGCCTCCCCCCTCCACTAAAAATTGCGATCCCAGATGAAATTTGTTATCTACGAGCAGCAATATATAACGTATTAATTCGAAACGCGAAACACATCGGATTATTTCCACGAGAACGGTCCGAGAGTTTCACTGCGAATGCGCAAAATACGGTGCGCCCGGTCTTTCTTACAAACGACAAGCGTCGGGGAAACGGAGAGATGTTTACATACCTCTCGGTAGTGCTCTTCACGAATTCGCCTTTCCAGAGGCCGCATGTTAATTCACGAGCAGTTACCGCGAAAAAGAGAAGATTTATAGCCAGAAGTACTCCGACCGGTCCGAAGAAGTACGCCAAGATTTCCATGTCACCTGCAAACAGAGCGGATAAAATCTTGAAATCTCCTCTCTTCGAGTCTCGTCGAGATTTGGCCGCAGGTCGTTCCATGTGTCGCTACGCGTGGTGATTTTTTTCGCGTGTATATATAAGCATTACGCAATTAAATTTAACTTAACGCATTTAATTGCTTATTAATGGGCAAACGTGCGCTGTGGTAACGTAATCTTCAACAGTTCGTTCACGGAAATAATGTGTGTGCTCTATTTCCGTCGGGTTATCTCGTAAACTTAAAATCCCGATTTGCGAACGTCGATAACACCAGCTATTATTTGAGTAATTGAGAGCGCGTGATGCCTTCTGAAATTAATGTTCGCTCACGCGAGAGCGCATACGAGAGGCACGAGAGAAGCAGATGCTATTTTGGTTGCTATTTCGGATTCGCTAATGACCGATCGACACGAAACGGTCCTTGCACCTGGATTAATCGTACGGCGATTCTCCCTCCCTCTCTCGTCCGCGGGACGACCTCAGGCCAGGTCGATACTCCGAATTTAAGCGGCCAGCGGATATCTGGATCGTGGCTGTTTCGACTTTAAACGCAGATTCAATAATAAACGATGCGATCGGCTGAATGGAATCGCCCACATCCGGGGATTTACCTTCAGGATGCTTAATTCGGTATCGCGGCGAAAATACTGTAAAATTCCTTTTCTACATAATATAAGGGAAATCGATTACTGTTATTAGTTGGTGCATCGATGCATTTGCACAATGCAATGAATTGTTGTTTTTTTAAAGTTTCTCTATGATTTTTTACAGTGGTCGATTACACACACACACACACACACACCTGTCATTCTACGTACAAAAACGTTAAGATGATGTTATCAAAAAACGGAAACTTGATGAGATTCTTCATATCTTGTACTGAAAAATATCAGAATAAAAAGAAAAATATCTCGAAAATTATTTACTTTTCGATGATATCACCATAGTATTTTTTACGTATAGAATGAACAGAGGAATCGATTTCTATTGAAAAAATTATATGATTCCTTAAAAAAAATGAAGTTGATCTTGAAGTGACTATACAAATTAGAGTCACCAACTTATGCCCCCTCTAAAATCTACCACTTTTGTCCGAACTATTTTTTTTGTCAATTGTTTCGTTTTCAAGATATTTCCAATAAACGGGGTATTCCGTGTATTGTTTCAATACCTGAGTTGATCGAAACAATGTATGATATATTAGTTTCAATAATACTGCTATTGAATCGAAAAGATTCAGTTCAATTGCGGCGCTGTTGACCGATTCGATTGATACAACAACAGCATATTTGGCCCGTGCAGCCAAAGCCCGTGCTGATGGAGTGAGTGTCTAAATTTCTAGTCGCTTCTGTCGGATTTTCGAATCCGATATTTCGAGTCACGTTAAGTGGCTTTACAGGTGCTCGAAGCAACAGAGAAACAACGATTGTCCGGTGACGCGTGACGTGTAAAATATTATGAAATTCCGCGTTGTTAAAACTGGTCTCGTAGCATCGGCATAATAGTTATTCAATTTACGGCCATTATATGAAATATTGTCTCGCTTTACCCGTTTTATCATGTGTAATTTACGGAATATCGCGCTGATGCCGTTGATAGATGTAGCGAGATGCGCGTCCAAAAACGCGTTCGTTGCGCCTTCGATTCCGCGAAGATTGAATTAATTAATTCCATGCAAAATATATAAAACATCGCGATACAATCAGTATCGATGATATCTTTCAATTAGTCGTGATTGCATCACGCGCGAAAGGGAAGGCAAGGTTCCGGAAGGCGGGCTTTTTCTCCCTTTTTTTTTTGTAAAGCATGCGAGAGTAGAAATAGATCGACGATTTATGAAAAGCAAATAAATCGCCCGGTGTCGACTTGCCGACATGGACGGTTTATTTTCTTGTTCATATCGGCGCACGGCGAACGAGAGAGAGAGAGAGAGAGCGCTCGCATTACGGCAAAAAGAAAATGAGAGAACTGCGAAAACGCGCTGTGCGTTGCGCCAGGAAAGCCGGGCCTTTTAAACGGCGCACGAATGCGCGGCGCGTCGCGCCCCTCATTTATTCTTAATTATTTATGGCGCCACGCGAAAACGGTACCGCGATCGAACGATAACCAATGGGGCGAGACGTACTTTGTTTTCGTTATCCAATAATATTCGATAGCCGATACTTTGCCGCCGCCACGCCGTTGCGCATTTGTCTCCGTGCGATGTTTAAGCACCATTCACATGCGCACGCGTATATTTCGAGCGACTAAATTTTTCGCTTCCTTCGTTACACTCGCGTTCGCCAAAGGCACATTATTATCCCCCGTCTTCGAAAGTAGTCGCGAGATCAACCCTCTTCGTCCGTGCTTTTCGTTGAAAAGTGGCTTAAAATAAATAGCCGCGCAGTCAGCGTCACGTATACTGTACCACTCCTTAGATAGAAAATTACACGATTTTCACCCTTGTATAAGATCAAAACCGTTATACTATGTAATTAAAAAAAAAAAATAGGTGTGCTTTGTTTCCTTCTTTCCTTTCTCTTCTTTTTTCAATTAAAAAGTGACGATAGACAAAGACCGCTTGATGATTTTGCGGATTGATTCCCCCCCNTCTCTCTCGCACTCTCCCTCTTTCTGTATCTTTATTTTTATCAAGTATTAATCTAAATTATTGCTCTAGCAGGATATATATGCTGCAGCGTAATAAAATTGATTCTATTCTATTTAATTGAATTCCTTCTCCCGGCGCGACAGTAGACGAAACGTGTACGCAAGGTGACGCTCATCAGCGTCTAATTATACAATTCTGAACCGAAGGCGCGAGGTCTCGCCTTTCCGAAGACAAAGACGGGCGACGGGCGCGTACGATCGCGCGATCGGGCATGGCAAAGTTTACGCGAGGGGTTATAACGAGGGTATTCCAGCGATCACGCGACTGCCGCGATTCCGTCGAAATTGCGCCCGCTCTGGGAAGGGCCGGTATGTGTTTAGCAGAAATTATGGTAAATCACGCGGAGCGTGCACTTATCCAATCGCGGATCGGTTTCCCGGTTCCACGCCCGGTGCAAGGCTGCGCGATTCCCTGAATTCCTGAGATATGCACGCGCTGGTACGCCGCGCGTACTACGCTCTCGGGTTTCAAGTTCAAGACAGGTATATATCCGGGAGCCCGGCTCGTTCGTTAAACACAGATATTTGCGAAATGCACGCGGAACCGCCGTGTGCGAGCTCATATTTGCCTTACGTACGGTCGTTTACGGTCGTCTTCCGCGCGGGAGAGAATACCGTCAATTTCCAATTGCGACGCGCACGAGAAAACTCCGGAGGATGAACTTACAATAATAACGCCCGATGTGACCTCTGTTCGGAAATTATCGCGCTTAAAAAAATTACACGGAGAAAACGGGTATTAAATTAACGAGTACGATTTAAGAAGTTCTTATAATTTAGTTGCATCCTATGTCTAAATTATTATGTCGGTTTGCGTACACACAGAAAAATACATACCCCGTTCAAGTAGTCGAAACTCGTTTCAAGTATTTTTCATAAGTTTATATATCCGCAAGTAAGACTATAGAAAAAAAAAAAAAAACATAAATATATTATTAAGTACATCTGCGATACACGATATGCGCTGGCGATAATTTCCACTCTGTCTTTTATTATGGTTGCACGTTGCGGTTGGCAACCTGCAATTTGAACGGTGCGATGCTCTTTTGCAGTACACTTTTATATACGAAAGAACAACTCCGTTAGTGTAACTGAATTTTCCGTTGCCGAGGACCAGACGAAAACTCGACCGTAGGGGCAGAAAGACTTCTGCAGGAGATTCCCGCTCAGTTAATTGCTCTCAGTTGTCTCGGCCGAGTTTCAAATGCAGCTGAATTCGTTCACATAGAATGTTCTCAGTCGCGGTGACAGAGATATCATTTCTTGCCACCGAGTTGCCATCTGGTCCCCATTCAGTTGCAGGGACTGAGATTTTTTCCCGCGCACGGAAAAAATAATTCCGTTAGTGTAACTGAATTTTTCCCGTTGCCTGGGATGGAACAGGGACCGGACGGGAAAACTCGGTTGTGTAGGAACAGGAAGATCCCCCGTAGAAGGTTCCTCCTGCACAGTCGACCGCTTTCGGTGATCTCAACCGAGTTTCAATACCGGGCTGAACGTTCAAAACGAATATTTTCTGCCGCGGTAACTGAGACGTCCTTTTCTCGTCACCGGGAATTTCCATCTCTCTCGTCCCCGTTCAGTTGCGCGAACGGACATCTTTTTCTCCCGTGTACACGGCTCTTCGCGCATAGATATTACGCGGGAACTTTACGCGAGGTCGTTAATCAAGCGCTAATGGACGCGTAATCGTAACGTGAGGAGATCGTTAGGGGAAGTTCGATCATTATTTATGGGATCGCTCGCGAGTTTTGAGCGACAGAGAAAGAGAGAGAGAGAGAGAGAGAGAGAGAGAGCGAGTTTCGCATGCGAAGCGAAGTTCGTCACGCGTTCGATCGGCGGCGCTTTACGGTAATTTGATGATAGAAATCCCGACTCGACACGCTCGAGTCGCTTTTATCGGGGCGATTCGCCCTCCTCGCGACCGGGCTCTTCCGACCCCATAACTACGGATGCAATCTGCCAGAAACAGGCTTCCACGAGGACTCCGTAGCCACTTATCGGAGCTGGGGCACCCGCGTCCGCAAACAAACCCATAAATAAAATCCTCACGGCGACGTGAACTTCGCCGAGCGACGACGACGGTGGTGGTAGTGCAGCAAGCTACTCCCTCTCTCTCTCTCTCTCTCTTCTATTTCTCTCTTTCTCTTACGAAAGAACAGCGCGGATATTAAATTGTTACTGACCCAGTTGAGATTTTTCGAGAGCTTCTCGAAAGCTAGTAGGTACCAGCAGCTGGCGGCTACTACACGACGCGATCCGGCCGCGCCCCCTCGGTCAATCGATCACCGCGAGATACACGGTTTTTCGAAGCGAATTCTATCGCTCGGCGCGA